GAAAATACATATTAACGATTTAAAAACTATCATACAAAGATATGACGTTCGAGAGATAGTAAAAAACGCACGATATCTACAAAGGTATAAAAAAACAATTGGCACATTTTCAATATAAATTTGTTTGGCAGAAGTATGTATGTATGTATGTGTAAACTGTAATCAATTAATTATATCAATACTCATCGCGCAGAAAGACAGTCTGTAATTGAATTAACGAATAATATTTCATATTCAAAATGAAATTGCACGATCTTTCGTTAATTTTTTTTTTTTTTTCTTTTCTTTTTCACGCAATGAAGAGTAAAATGAGATCAGCGGATTCCATTAGAAGCATCAATTAATCACGTTCTTCGCGATCGATGTATCGCAGCCCATCCTAATGTATATTATTCTTACATATTTTATATAGAATATTTTATAATTAATCAAAACCATTTTCTTTTTATTTTTTTCATATAATATTGACGAGTTAATTATAGGATTGTCTTGATAATTCGCTGTTCTCAAATGTTCGTGCATTATCCAGATGTCTCTTCGAATTTCTATAATTTTATTTTATATCTGTTTTAACATTTTGAGCTTCTTTTTGATCCTTCATCCTTTAAATATTTATTTCAAACACATATAACAACGATACACTTTGCGATTTATTTAATTTGTTTAATTATGTACGACAGTTCTTAAATTAGTTTGTTAACGCAATAATAATATATAATATCATATTTTTTTCTCTGGCTGTACTTCTTAAAGAAATATTTCCAAGGCCTGTGTACTCTCATATGCATATCATTTTAGAACTTTTTTTTTTCCCTTCACGGAGAACAATGTGCGATTCAATGATGCCATGCTAAGATTTTTCTCTATTTTTCTTTTTATATAATATTTCTTAAATTTTGTCGAAGAATCTCTTCGCATGAACATCATTATTATTAATTAAATAGAATCTGTGAGTAGGATTAAATTGTAACATTTTTGGCATTTCTGTTTCTCTCGGAAAAGAATTTGTTTTCCGAGTTATAAATATATGTATATATATATAATATATATATATTTTTTATTTTTTATATTGATACGTATATTTATTAACTAAGTCTCTATTATAATATGAAAAATCTTGTATCTGTCGAAGTAATATCGATCAGAATTATCACAAGAGTGTCGATAAGTCTGCATCCTAGAATTTGCAGTTGGCCTAACGAGAATTCAAACTAATTTCTGTGTCCTATATATAATATATATTTGGTAACTTTTTTTTGTAACTAATGTGAGCGATTTTTTTTTCAAACAAATTATATTTCTTGTATATTCGTTGAATTCATTCATTTTTCTCATTACAGAGCAGTTTCCTTCTCACTGATTATCTTAATGCCATGTTTGGTCAGAATCATTTTTACAGTTTCGTTGTCTCTGACCTTTGGCTTCTCCATCCAATTCAGGTCATCCTGTGCATCATCCTCCCTTCCTAGACTCTCCACTAGAGAATCTAAGTTGTCTGTGGACGAATCCATGCATCGAACATTGTCTGCTGATCTCTGCAGTGATTTACATCTTCTGGAATTTCTGGAAACACGTATATTGTCTGCAGATCCAATCAGCTTGTTATTCTTAGGCCTAAGAACTTTATCATTGCTTTTGGAAGACGCTTTTGCTAATTGAAGATTATCCACTGACGAGTAACGTCTCTTATCCTGAGTAACATTAACTGGATCCTCAATTGGTTCTTTCTGAATAAGGACCCCTTGCGATTCATGCGTCTAGAGCCACTGGTCAGAATAGCCAGTTCATCCTTAGGAATGAAATATTTGTCTCGTGACTTTTTCTTGATAACGGCCGAATCTGAAATATTGAAAGACTTGGATAATTGTTTTTCACCAATTTGGTGAACTAATGACTCTGACCCACTCTGGAAACCACAATTCTCGATCTCGAAGCTATCTTCGTCCAATGATGGATCAGTTGCAATACTATCACCGATTCTGGAGCTATCTTTTGGAAGACTTCTCGAGGAAGATTCAAATACCCGACCTTGAATCAAATCTCTTGGTTCTCTGGTTATAGAATAAGATCTTGATTCCTGATCGGGGTTGAACGTGGCACAGATCTCGTTGCAGATCTCGCACACTTCACACAGTTGGTCGCAATCAGTTGTCGAGGAAATGAGCTTTCGATCGATAGTATCAGTAGACTCTTGTAGATTCCAAGAGCTACAAATATCGCATTCTGTTGAATCCTCGTCAGCGATAGAGCTACAATTAGAACGTAGAATCATTTCTTCTGTTCCAATGACATCCTCCGTTCTTAGAGATAATTCGTTTACATAGCAACAAACAGAGCAATATTCATCTGTTTGCATGTCCAATTCATTTGCTGTAATCAACTGAGAAGTGCTATCAGCTTTCGATGGATCTTCATAACATACCTCTTGCATTTTCTTAATGGACTCGTAACTCTTTGATTTTTTCGAGAACATTTCCTCAGTTTTCGATTTTCTCCTAGAAATTGTTCTAGAATCGTTCGTAGTGATCACCGAATCCAAACTTCCTTTCAAAGGCACATCGTACTGTTTTGATTTTTTATTTTTTTCATCGCTGATTATTGTGGACTCGTAAATTCTCGAACTGCTAGCCGTTTTCTGACCGTTTAAACGAGATTTTCCTTCCTTTCTAGGACTCTTTGATTTCGACGATGATTTTGATACAGTTTTGTAAAACGTTTCTTCCGATTGTGTGCCTGAATCGGTGCTCTTCTTTTCCACTTTTTCGCTTTCTTTTACCCATTTCTCATCATTTTCATTGGTGTATACTCGTATTTGACCATTCTTTGTTTTCCTAGGACTTTTGCAAGCATTCACCACAGACTTTACATACTTACCATCTATCTCTAAGCTTACATCTCGTTTTAAGGATTTTCCATCCAGTGAGTCATCAGAATTTTCTTTCGTCATCTCCGTTCCATCATCCATTATTTCTTGTATTTTTACTGTGCTCTCATCACTCATTGAAGATGGAACAGGCGACTGTACCAATAGACTCAGTTTGTCGATACTTCCATCTGATTCACCTTTATATATCGTGATCTCGCCTTTACTCTGTACACCATTCTCTTCGACGATCAATGTCGTCCCTTCCTTATCGAAAGGATTGTGTATCATCGCGCTAACCACTACTAATACTTGCGTATTTGAGCATCGAATACTATCGCTAGGGAAACCGTTCTGATCATGAACTTCATCGCTGTTCTTTCGATCAGCTTGTTGGCTTTTATATTGTAGATTCTCCTGCTGATTCTCGAAAAAGTTATGCTTGCTTAATCGAGAATCTTCATCTACATCTTGGATTTCGTCTTCAACTGAGTCGTCTAAACCGTACCATGTCAGCCTGTAATCCTCTTTGTCCACGCTGAAATCGGACAAGGCGCATTCATGACGTCCTCCGCCATTTTTTATAGCAGATATCTTCGTAGACGAAACAGTTGAAGACGAAATCAAAGATTTAACATCGCGATCCTTGCCACTATTCTCTCCTAATCCTACATCGATAATTTCGTACTGGACACGAGCTCTATCAATCATTTGTAAAGATTTATCCGCACTATCTTTAGCCTCGATAGATGATCTCGCATTAATTTTAACAATGTTCTCGCGTTTCGACGAGGTGGCGACACATTGGGACACCTCTTCCGGCTGACTCGATCGGGGCTGTACCCTCACCACCTTCCTGATCTTTCTATCATCGTCAACGAAACCTACCTCGTCGAGGATCTGCGACTCGCCGGTTTCGGTGGCGATGATCTGTTTCGCGAGACCTGGATACGCGGCCTTCGCGGTTGTTATATGTTTGGCGTTACCGTTCTCGGCGACGAGAGCACTAATGAATTTCTCGCGCGCCTCCTCGAGGCCGCCGCCGACGTGACGTGAGGTGACACAAGCCACATTCGTTGCGTTCTGCATATTCTTACGCAGAACAGTGTCAGGCACATCGATGGATATAATTTCAATCGGACTCGGGGATTCCATGGTAACGTCGCTAGGCGACGGCGTGAGAAAGGTGCTTTGATACTTGGAATCAATGGTCAAGTAATTATTCGCATTGGGCGAGGTCAGTTCCAACTTACTTCAGTATCCAAGTAGATTGGCAGCGTGAAAAACAAGACACTATTTTTTATATGGTCTTCATTATTTTGATACTCGGTAGAAGTCCGATTCAGGACAAAAATAATTTCATCTAATTTATTCATTCTAACTTTAGAAGAAGAGATTATGCTGAATGATCAGAAGAAATTTCGTTCTCTTATTTTTTTATTTATTGGAAAAGTGTTGTTTAAATAGTAAAGGGAATTGAAAAAAAAAAAAAAAAGAAAAATTAATCTTTATCGTGAATCGGTACTTTTACTATGATTGACAAATTAAATATATCTAATTTACAGAAATCAATGTAATGTAAGGAATGTAAAAAAAAAAAATGCAGTTGCTAAGATTTATTTGTAATTACAATATTAGAAAATAGATTGTTAAAATTTGATTTATATACAAATGAAAGATTCTTAGACTAGACTAATATATTGCTTTGTAATATTTGATGATCATATAATGATAAGCGACCCTTTTAACACTCAATAAATAATTTTTATAAAACAATATTACAATATAGATATTTTCTAGGATAAGTAATTCATAAAATCATTAAATATATATTATAATAATATTTCAAAAATTGGAAAATATTCATTAACAAGATTTATAATACATAATATATATAATATAATTTCATAAAAATAATTATTATTACTTCGTTCAATTTTCATTTTATAATTAAATGTTTTTTATAAAATAAATCTATTATTTTATATATATTTTATAATAATATAATTTATAATATTTGTAAAACATTTAAAGAGTTAATTTGTAACAATAAACAATTTTTTCTCTTTTAATTTTTTTATACAATATTTTAAATTCTCATTTTTTGAAATAAATTTAATATTTTAATTATTATACTTTATTTTACAATTAATGTAACATTATTGAGTATTAAGAGAGTTAAATTTTAATCATATATATATATATATATATATATATATTCATATTACTTTGTGTCAATTCTTAAGTTAACTAATTCTGTACGCTCTAAACTCACCAACTACGTGGAATATGAATGCTATAAAAATATAGGCTTTTCATACAAAATACATAAAAATAAATTTTTATTTAAATCTATTGGAAGATATGCTATTAAATTGGCACTAGTTATATGATCTATCATTTCAATTAAATTATTGTTAGACTCACATTGTTGATGTTGTTGTCTTTGCATCATAAATTCCTTGTTTATAGACATAATCAATCACAGAATCTTGTAAGAGATATCTGACACTTTCACCTCGCTTTAATGCTCTTCTTATTTTACTTGAACTGACTTCATTTGGAATCCATTCAGTCACTATGTGTATATTGTGCTATATGAAAGTTAATTATCAGAACATAATCATAAGATTATTTAATAGATATATAATCAATATTGATAAGATTATTTACCATATTCTTAGAAAGAATATCTGAATCATATATAAATTTATTTGGATTAGAACCTTCTCTAGTAATAACTACAAGACCATGTTCTCCGACAATAGCATCAATCTATAAAAAAAAATATTTCTTTTAATTATTAAAATATTATTATTAATAGTATTATAAAATAAAAGAATATCAATTTACATCTTCTTCCATCCAAAGACCATAAACTCCAAAACTTTCTAGTAAATCAGCACCACATAATAGTTTAATTTGAATTGGTGTACGATCAGAACTATTTTTTATATTTTCTGGAATCCATTCCAGATCTTCAATTGGAATATTATGTTTAATATTGTTTGAATCAAATATTATAGAATTCAATAAATTTTGATGGTATTGTAAAGTTATTCTAGTCCTTGACCAACCATTTTGTTTAATTTCCCAAGTACTAAGTCGAATCCAATCATTATTCTGTAAGGCTAATCTTAACATAGCACATCTGTGTGTTGCACTTGCTAGTTCTTTTTTAGCATATGCATCATGTACTGGAGACACAACTCCACCAACCACAATATGTGTGCCCATTCTATGTAGATGATCTCTGGCAATTTCTATAAATTTCAAATGAAAAATTATTACAATATTCAATATAAATTTTATAATATTTATATATAAAATACATAATATTTATATATAAAAAAAGGATATTATATTTAACATGGCAATTATAAAATTACAAAAAGACAGAATTAAAGTTATTTTTATAAAATAAAAAAAATTATACATATTTAATTTTGTTTAAAAGAATTAATTATATTTTTCATATTCTAAACGATTTTTTATATATTGATAACATTATCCGTTGTTTATATATTTTTAATAATGATTTGATTTGTTCAAATAATCAACAAAATATAATTATTATAAAATTTGTCTATTATATCTATTATACATGGATATTGAAGAATTTTGTATTTACGGAGAGACTGATATTGATTATAAGAAATGATATATATGTACCAAACATTCTTAAATGCATATTGGTTGGAGGGTTATAACTGCCACACGAAAAAAGAATAACACGCGTTGGTGCCATTTTTCTTTTTTATCTGACTGCATGTGATGACAGCAGTTTTACAAGACTGCTGAAAACTGCTTTCTCTTCTCGTGATTTTATAGAGATAAAACACGCAATATTTAAGGTGATGCGTAATAATGCAAGATAAATCGTTATACGAACTACTGTAACAACCAACCACACTGCATGAACTACACACTGGCTGATGTTTCAGCCATATTTGAAATGGTGCTACTACAGGAATCAATTGAGAAATTGTTCTTAACATACTAGTTGTCTTAAATAATGTTTAAAATTTGTTAACTTTTCTAACATACTGTATATTTTGATCTTTAATATAAGCAATCATTGTCAATTAAAAAATTTATATACGATAGTCAATTATTAATTTGATGCACGTTGAAATATCGCCACTTTCCTTTCAAAAAAAGTTGTTTGAAACGATTTATTGTATTGACTTAAAATAAATTATCTATTATATTTATTATTTTATTTAATATATTGAAATAATATATATAATTACTTTATATGAAAACTTCAAAATAATTTTAAATAATATGCTATATTATTCAAATCTATAATATAAAGTTATAATATAAGATAATAAATAATTTTAGAAATATTAAGTAGTTTTATATATTTTTTAAAATATTTCTTATTATTTAAAATTAGAATTATTTAATAACTTCACTATATTAAAGAAATTATGAATATAAGTTAAAAATGATATAACATTGAATATTCTATATTACTTTTAATTATATTATTGTCTCTATTTAATTACATTTGAAGATAGGTTATAAAATATATATATATATTTTTGTCATAGAATTATTTGCAATTAAATGTAATATTGATTTCAATATTTTTATCTACTATTTTTTAATATTATTTCATTTTTTAATAATTATTTAATAACGTAAGAAAAATTAATTTATCCTTTTCTTTAATAATTTTTATCAATTTTTTATTTTTATATTCTTTTACCAATATTTTATTAATATTTTCATATAATATGTATTAAATGAATTTCATATTATGTCATAAAATAAAAATTTCCGATATTCATTTATTCAAAAATTATTTTTATTTCATTTTATTATCTAGTAAAAAATATAATGCTAGGATAAGACATTAATGACGCCAAAGTAAAATCGATATTATCAATGCAATGCATTGATAAGATAACTTCAGATTAAATTTGAATGTGAATTTGATATGTGATTATAATTGATGCGAAAGTTCATATTATTATATGATATGTATTTTTACTCTATTTTTTTAATTTATTTAATTTATATAATTATATTATATATTTTAAAAAATGAAGCACAAATATAATTATAACAAAATATTTTGATTATTATATTTATTTAATATATTTTTATAATTATGCAATTCTATATAATTTTCCTTACGGTTCTTAAAATAAATCTTTTTAAATGAAATATAGAAAAATTTTTTTTATTAAGATCTTAATATTTTTTATATAATAAAATATTATTTATTTTATATAATACTTATTTTATATAATAAAATCTATAAAATTTATAAAATATCGTATTAGTTATAAAATCTATTTCTCAAGTTCTAGAATATTCTAATTATGTTATTCTTATAAAAGTACAATGTTCACAACTAAAATTCATAATTAAGTATTATGAATGTACTTATTATTTTCAGAATGAATCAGCAATGTCAGTAATATTAGCAGTGAAAAAGTATTCTTGATTATTCTGCGATAAGTGAGTCGTAAATTTTCTACTAAGAAATTATGGTTCTGCAAAGTTGATCGTGAAACTGGATAATTATAGAATATTTTTTAAAAATATGTGCAAGAAATAGTATTCGACATAATAATTCTGAATAATTTTTAAATAGAAATTTTAATAGTAAAATAAATAAATAATTAGTAAAATAATTTTTTAAATAAAATGATATAAAAATTTTTTGATAATTATAAAATTAAAAATTATTAAAATTATAATTATTAATTATATTATAATGATA